GGGGGGGGGGGGGGGGGGGGGTTGCAAAAAACATTATCTTGATTGTATCCTCAGAGTACACTTTTAATCTGAGAATGCTATCATCTAATGCCGCAAAGTATCAAAGTCCACAGTGACGATTTCTTTTATTAAACCCGCCTTCGCTCCTGTAATTTTCTATCTGAAGCGCATATTATTTGACTCTCCTGATTAACTAATTTATAGTAACACTTATCGTTAATACCAAAGCAAACCATCACATAAATCTCGTCCAGCCACCATTCCACCAGCATTTCCTGATTCTCCAACGTTCACCTTAATTTTAATTGTCCGTCTATCTCTCGTTCTTCCTAATGGACGTTTTACAAAAACCACGTGTCCATTTTGGCCCAATCTCCTGCGTTTCTCTGCTGGTTTTCTGACAGTACAAAGTGACCTTTATGCACGCATCATAATGTAATGTCCTAATTTTCCCACCCAATTTAAACTGCATTTTATTTCTTTAGATTTCGAATTTCTCCCGTACCAAATTTAATCTATATCTGTTCAATCAGTCCACAGCTGTTATATGAATGTGGGCAATGTCACTTCAGTCGTATACTCATGCTTAAAATCCTTAAAATAATATTTATGCAGGATTTCGATATGTACACGTGACAGCTGCCAGTTAATGTCAGACTCTGTATTTAGCTAAAATGAAACGATAATCGATGGAACAAAAGTCTGCTCCAATTTGGATTTCGGCTGTAAAAGGTTTAGGATTTACAAAATTATACTACAGTAGTCTCATTGCCCTGGCAAGGAAGTCTGAAACGTCGATAAAACTTGTACCAGACTGCACGACGTAACAACCCAGAAGACAGAAATCTTTGCAGGTGGGCTAATATCGTCAACATCTTTGTTAATTGTGATAATTTTGGCATTTTTTTAAAAAAAATTTAATGAAGAAAATCTGTTTATGATAATTTTTATGTTGTATGTACACGTTACATATCCCAAAATCTCATTGTCTTTTATTTAATCTCATCCTGATGTATTGTTTTCCCTTCGAGGCTTCGTTTCTGTATCTCAGACAAAATTTATTCTCGAATACTGTCGGTTTTTGTGATAAAAATTTCTCAGAGCGGTGACGATGATGATGATGATGATCTCCTGGGTTGTGACGCCGTGTAGACTTGTAGTTAGATACCAAAGTTTCAGAGGAATTCTGCCCCCAATCTTGAGCCTACGAATTTACTGCAAATGTCGTTTGTCACTGGAGCGCCGAATCGAGTTTTATACTCGACCAAAAAAAAAAAAACCCTGGTAATTATACTTACGATGTCGGTTTTCTCTTTTGTTGAGACGTGCTCCCCCAGCTTAAGATCCGCTGCTATTTTCATATTTTCGTAGACGGTGAGTAGTGACTGCAGTCGGTCTTCTTGTGTTATGTAACATGACAGACGTCTGAAGCTATTCAAGTCTCTCTCTTCTCCATTCAGCATCACAGAGCCACTTACGTTCGTAATTCTGTGCCCAGACACAGAGAAACAAGAAAAATGTTGTCAAATGAAAAAAAAACTTAATTGAAGCCGCGTCAGCTGGCTGAAAGGTGAATGAACCATTTCTTCCTCCAACGTTTCGAGAGCCATCTCTGCTCTCATCCTCAGGGCACCATCGTGTTGCTGGTGGCCCGTCTGTTCGCAGCTGCCCTGAGGATGAGAGCAGAGATTGCTCTCGAAACGTTGGAGGAAGAAATGGTTCATTCACCTTTCAGCCACCTGACGCGGATTGTAAGATATCAAAGATGAAAGATGATGATGAAAGATATCAAATATATAATTGGTGGATTTTAAATGAACTTAATGATCTGTTTTGATCTTGCAGTCATCTCAAACTGCAGATGGTCTGAGCATTAAACTTTTTTAACAACAAAAGAACGTATTACATACGATCTTTGATCATTAACCTTGGAACAGTGCATCTGTTTGTGGAGAGAACTGTCAGGTTATCGTTTTTAATAGCCCACGATTAATAGTTTACTGCACAGGGTATAATTAAGTTGATAAGCGTGATCGCTTTTGCTAACACACTTAGTTTTGAACTACCAGTCGATCATATGTACTTCAGGAGCTGACTCATTCTGGCGAAACAAACCGGAAGAACAAAGTCTGTGTGGTTGATAAGAGACGTCATACAAGCGCTCTGCATTTGGTCGCTTTGAGGGTAGAAATAGGACATTATGTTGCCTGCAAAACGCGCTCAGGGGAGGGGAGAGTTTTTTCTTATCCTACTCATTCTAATCCTCGGCACCAGATGGGGGGCATGTGGTCAGCGTAACGCTCCGACCGCGTTTTATTGGAGGTGGTCCTCAGAGTCGGTCTGGACGAAGAGGCTAGAAAAAATTACTCTCTCTGTATCTCGTGAATTTATGCCTGTCGTTTTCTGAGACAGTGTGTCTCCTTGAAACGTTGGTGTCGACCATCAAGTCCACGTGGCTTTACCACATAAAAGACCGACAAACTAATGATGTAAGACCATTTGGAAGAACAGACACAGGATGACCTTGAATATACCATCAATTAATTGAGGCTAGAAGAGGTTAATAAGCCTGAACGACCATCTCCTTCGTAGTTTGATTTTGTTGTTGACCACGACTGAGATATTATGAAGCACTGACGGTGGACAACACACTTTTTCGTTTAAAGATTCCTAGGCAGATGAAACAAATATATAGCCTGGTATACATAATACCAGGACCACATGCAAGAGAATGAGATTTGATGTTCCAATGACGGTGAAGATGGCAGTGATGTTCTGGGTTGTGATGCCACGTAGACTCAGGTAGATACCGACGTTTCGGAAAGAACATGATGTCTACATCTTCAGGGCTTCAGATGTAAGACACATCCTTACGACGCTGACAACAGTAGAGTGGAACGAGGGGGAAAAGTGACTTGGGTTTTGCCAGTTATGAACGTTTGCTTTTAGGTTACCACGAGGTTTGACTTTCAAGAGTTTCAACAATTTTTTTCGATGTTTTGGCAGTGCGTTTTTCTTAGTAACGGTCGGATTCATGGAGTAAGGAAACAACATGTTTAAACACACACACACACACACGTAATGGAATTAATGTTCGTCACTTTTCTTCTATCTTTATACCGGATTGTGTTACTCACATAAAAGGAAGTCGTATGTAATAATCGATTGGTAACGTTAGAGATTTATCTGTTCGTTCCTTACCTGTAACCAGAAAGAATGTCCAGTAGAGTAGATTTTCCAGCTCCGGAAGGTCCCATGATGGCTATCAGTTGTCGCGGAAGAAATCTGCCATTAAGTTCGTGCAAAATCTTCTTGTTCCCTGTGTAACGAAACAGGTTAAAGTATGTTAATACCAACGTTTTTAGTACGCTTTAGCAAAGAAGTAATATTGTAGGCCTATTGACTATAAAGTAACCAGAAGCTGGAGAGTTTTAATACTTAACGTCACTTTCATATATCTTTATGGATGCCAGTTCTCTTGACTGAAACTTTCTATGCGGTTCTCAGTTCCTCCAGACAAATTCCAGGGTAGTTAGTACCTTCAACAGGGTGCAGACATTTCGTGTCACTTCCTTTCCAGTTCATAAACCCGATCTAACTTTCGATATTACCCTCATAAATCGTAGGTAAATAAACTCTGGAGCATTATTTTACTTTTACGGAATACAGCGTGTTCCGTGTAAAACGCACCCAAACAACATTAAAAAAATTTAAACCGGAAGTATGTCCCCGTGACATTCGAGTCAAGGTCTCCCTACTTCCTGGACCGCTGTTCGTCTTCCCAGTTTTCCTTCCAGAAGCCTTCCAGATACGGACATGACGTTTTCACGTGTAGAACGTGTGATCGATCATTCTCGAAGTTATTACTTCGCATCGAAATCGTCTGTTGCTGTTCGTGAAGCACGCTACTAATCGTCTGTTGCTGTTCGTGAAGCATTTACTTATGCGTATCGTGGTTTTCTTTCACACTGACACAGTTAACAACCAAGGATTTCCTTACACTGTGAAGCTTATCTGAAGACGTCGGGCGTGATTGCTTGTAGCAAGATATTTTGAATACATTAATTAGCCATTTTTATGAATACGTACTTACAGAATTGCTAAAATTGCACAAAATTCAAGTTAGGAGTGTCATCTCTTATTTATTTATTTATTTATTTAGGAAGGTTAGCTCAGCAGTAAGCGTAGTCTGTATGGGTGGCGATTTGCAAGGTGTGACAGAAAATTTGTTGTATTATTTATGTATTTTTCTGGCGGAAGTTAAAAAGATGACGACTGACATAACTTACCCCACGCAAGACGTTCTTTGAGAAGCTTGTAGTAGCTCAGTCGGCCAAGGAATTTATGCCAAAATGTGAGTTAAGAAGTTAATGAAAATGAGCCTTTGGTAATTTATTCCAATTTATTATTTGTTTCGTAGTAGATTAATTGGCCTACTATTGAAGCAAATTATTGTAATTATTTCTTGTTATTTGAAACAAGCGAGTGGATTGAAGTGATGAAACATGTCTGTAAAAAGTGCAGTGTTTTTGTGTGTTCATAATAAGAGCGATAAATTAGTTCACGTCAATTGATTATCTCTAGCAAAATATAAATTTATTTTGTTTATTTTAAACTGTTTCTTTAATTGTATTTACTAACACGGACTTTGCCCTTACATTTGATGACATGAATGCCACAGTTACGGGAATACATAGTAAATATTGTATTGTGAATATAATCTTGTAATAAGTAAGCCTATAATACTATCGGTTTGTCATTTTTCAACCTTGTAGAGTTTACATCTTAAGATCTGTGAGATTTCATAACACTTGGTATTGAATTTGTGTATCTTTTGTTGTTTCGGAAGGTATGAGAAATTTTTGTGGTTTGATCGAGGTTTTTGGCGCTAAACAGAACTCAATTGTAGTTTAAATTCCTAATACAGAAGTTCCTTTTTGGGGGGAGCACAGAACTTGTTTACAGCGCTACAACCCAGAAGACGGTGATCTTCGTACTCACCGCCCTGAGAACCTAGGATCCATCTATATCAAGCTTCGTACGTGCAATAATAAATATTCTATGCGTACGTGGAGCTTTAATTAAAATACCGTACCTTTTCTGCATCCGAGAGAAGCCGTAAATCCAATATTTTCGAACTGCATGTCCATTGGTGTCCTATGTGGGAGACGAGAGAATGTTTGTTGGTAACTATTTCCGTTTCCGGAAATCTCAACATGTCCACTGCCTTCACTTTTGTATGCGATGACAGCTGAAGACATAAGCGACGTCTCCAGTTGGACTGCTACGCTCCTCGGTTCTTGAGACATTCTTGCACTTATATGATCACTGTAATGTCAATTTACTAAAGTTTAATTAATGTAAACTACACTAAAAACTCTTTTACGTAAGTCTGAATACTTTTTACACTTTCTCGCCTTTAGGAAGTGCTCGCGTGCGATGTATAAGGTACAATCAAGTAGAAAGAATTCACTTAAGATTCTTTCTTAACTTCTTAAGAATCAAAATGGCGCGTGTCACTGAATCACGGTTGGTTTTTATAAGTTCGTATTATCACAGTTCTGTGGGTGTCAAGAAGATAATGTTATCTTTGAAATGATCTCCGATGTATTTTGTTGCAAATTAGACCCAGAACTAAATTATATAACGAATATTATTGTAACAAAATTGTTCTTCGAGTCTTTTTATAAAGTTTCTGGTCAGCACTTTAGCAGTTTGCTGGTCAGAGGCTGAGTTAAGTAACGAATGGCGACCGGACTTGATCCAACACGCGAAGCTAAGATGATCTTCCTCAAACTCGTTTTTCAGGTTTCGCAGGGCAGTACTCGCGAGTGAATCTGGAACAAGATGCTACTGACTGAATGTGAAAATATCACTACGTATGTATACAGCAGTCGCAAATGGACTTTGGTCAGTCGTAATAAAATTGCTTGTTATCGTATGTGATGCTGGCTTCTTGACAAGTGCAGATCCTCTGCGAGGTTTCTTTCTTCCTGAACGCTCTCTGGAACAAACACATACAAACACGTGTGAAATCCACAGTGACGTTGAGTTCGCAGGGCACGTTTATACTCTCAGAAGTGGAAATATAAACTCTATGTAACAGGGAGTTCTTCAGAACCTAATATTTGTATTTTTTTAAAATTGTCAAGAAATTCTCTGTCGTAGAACACAGTATTTATTGATCCGAAGGTTCATTACCGTGGTCACATAAGTTCGCCAGTGATTCCATTCCTGACCCAGAAGCAGGGAGATAAGACCCATATATCCTATTTAATTAAAATCTAATGCACTCTTGTCGTCCGGCCAACGCTTAAGTTCCTACAAGCAGGAAGGAGATGAACACTGCCGAAAGCTAATAATTTATTTAATATTTCATCTCACTTATGTACAGGGTGTCCCAAAAATGTATATATACACTACGATTACATGAGTCACCATTGTGTATTTGCTTTTTTGGGACACTGTGTATGTATACTCGTTAATATATCGAGCTTGTAGGTTTTCTGACGAAAAACAAAGTATTGTCGTACAGAAAGTATTGTTTTCAAACAAAAAATGTATCTCTGTGAGATCTGTAACATTCAATAAATTCTTATATGGAAAATATGTAAATACATTCTATGACAGATAATTTCTACCTGTGTTCTGTGTTGTCAGTAGCTCAAATGAGTGTTATCGAATGATGGGGTGATTATGAACAGTGTATTTATAAAGGCTGTGTAAGTAAGCGGTCTTAGCCCGCGCGTCGATACAACCATTGATTTTGTAATCATCTAATTAATGTCTCGTTTCAGTATTGTGAGCTTAAAAAAATACACGAATGCACTTCACGTTTAATGTATTCTTGCAGACAATTAATGTCGCAACTAGCAGTCTCGTAGCTCTGCGGATATTTGTGGAGGTTTTTTCCGCAATGTCGAATTACCATTTTAATTACATACATTTATTTATTTGTCAAGACTCATGCCATTTCTTGCATTGTCATTGGCGATGTTGCCAAATTCAAGGACACAAATGTATTAAAATATTGATCATAGGTCATGTCGTATAAACAAAATTCATGAACGAGCAGTAATATATATATATAAATATATATCAGTAGTTAGTTTTAAATTTGGTCCAGATTTAAATACCGTGTCTTGAAACTAAAATAGCAAAAGTTAAATAAGTGCTTAATATTTGTAATATGTTCTTTGCATTCAGTTTAAAACCATTTATTTATGTATAAAATAATTATTTTATCCGTTGTGTTACGTGTATGAGACACTTTTCTTGAAATGGTTGGAAAACAAATTTAAATGTTGGATGAAATATAGGTTTATATATGCAATCAAAGATAATACATAACGACGAACTTTATGATGTTTTATTTGCAGATTTTGGTAATGAAATTGGGGCTCCTCCACTGGGCACGTATAACTTTCCGTGGAATGGGGAGACAAGAGATGCGTACAGAGTTTTTTATGTAATAAGTAATGCACCTGTTAGTGTTTGTAGTGGCGTTAACTGTTCATTGATCTTACAGTGTACACAGCTGAAAAACTTACTCGCGGACGTAAACATAAAATATCTAATTAAACTTAAATTTAACCCATATAATAAACACATGTAGCCTACACAATGTACGATGGATTTTATTTATGTTTTATAATATTCTATAACAATAAATTAAGCTACGGGAATGTACGTCGTGGCCAATTGGTTGGCACACTTGCGTTATTTTCGGAAGGCGTTTTGTTTTAAATATAAACCCAGAGATCGGCTGTCGTGACTTAGGTTTTTTGTGGGTTTTTTCAGTCTCTCCTGGTAGTTACTGGTATAGCATCTGATTAGGCCACAACAGCTTCATTCTATATTCTTTTCAATCAGCAGTTCATTTAAAACACTATCATTCCACGTTCTTACAGTCAGAGTCGTTAAACCACAAATTAATATTCAATGGTTAACCTGAAGAACTTGTTTTTTAATATGTACTTTCTCTCGCATCTGATTTGTTAGTTAAAAAAAAACCCTTGCGTTGAGATCTGAATACATTCTCTTACCTTTCAGCTGCTCGATGTTGCGGTTCTGTTCCCACTAGGCACTAAAACGACTGGTAGGCTTTATAATATCTTATGTACACTTTTTCTGATTTCGCTGACCTTGAAACAGGTTTGTGGATGTGATGTCAGACTCGAGATTGAGTCATTTGTACAGAATACCATTTAATCTACAGCACATTAACATCAATATAGACTCATTATTTTGTAAGTGTTTTATATGATGATAAAATATGGAAAATATTCTGTCAATATAATCGGTACTCAATTTCAATAGTATAGCTTTTATTATGATCTAAAAACGATTATTTTATGAGTTAAGTCGGATTGTATCCTGTAATTGTGATTTCGTCACTCACTAGAAGTTCAAATGAAGATTCTTCAAAGCGCAATTTTTACAAATCCCACTTCTTGTCACCAGATCACTTACTTTCGTCAAATGTAGGGCTCCTCGTTTCTACGACTGTCAGACTATGAAAAGACACGTATATTTTACGTGATGTTAACAGGATAACTTTCCAAGTCGATCTGCCGAGGTTCAGTTCGAGTCAGAGTCTTACATACGTGTCTGCAGGCTACTAGCAGTGTGGTTGACTTTGGTGTGTACTTTGTGAAGAATGCTTCTGTAGACAAATACGTCTAACGTACAAGTGCTGTACCGCCCTGTGGACTGTGACGACCCGTGTGTGTTGAGGATAATCAGAGTGATTTGCAGATGAACAAAGGACTTCACGTAGGACCGGTGAGGGGAGGGGAATTATTTGGACACGTGTATCATTAAATTATTCTAAATTTTGGGGTCACCTAAATTAAGCCGTAAGCATGTAATGTTTGGTATAATTGGATACCGTGTTTATTTCATAATAATAAGCCCTACGGCAATCATACGAAATTTTTGGATATTCAAAGTGGAGCATATGTTGACCTTCCGAGCGGTAGCGCGTGTGGACTTGCAGGGAGATACTAAAGGTCCAACATCGATACTAAGACGTGCTTTTTTTTTAATTTGCTCGCATTTTTTCGGAGAGCGTGCAATAGTATGTAATTGTCTGTTGTTAAAGAAAGTGAGAGTTTTATAAATTGTGGTTAGGTGGTAGGTAGTTTGAGGGGCGGAGGAGTTGCACAACTTAACTTGAAGCCGAGTACTAGGCTGGTATCAGGGCGA